AAACTTCTGCGTTTATATGACGACGTTATTGAAACAATCCCTGTTCACACAGAGCCGCAAAATCTACTGGAAACGCTGTAGTATGCACGCCAGGCCAATGGGTGGCAGTGTAAATTTGCAAAGCAACACCACGGCATGACGCCATGCGCCTGCGCTGAAGCGCCTTCCTCTACAATGCGGTGATTACAAACCAAAACAAAGAAGACACAATGGCGAAAGCATGCACAGATAACTTTGTCTGGATGGACGACGAGGTGGAGTTGCTACAGTAACAGATCTACACTTCATTTCAAATCAAAAGGGTGAGCAGCACAAACAGAGCTCGGCATTTTCTGTTGTGACGGTCGACTTTCTCGCGCATGTATAGTGACTGGAACCATAATGCGCATGTGCGAAAAGTCTCTGTTTTCAGAGGAACTGCATATTGCAAGTTTACATGACAACGGAGACGCTGCCGTTTCAAAAAAATTGCACTCTGGAACCCGTTTTCAAAACGTTGCGTTTTCAGGCACCCAAAACGCCGCTGTCGTGTTAACGATCGGCCAAAACGCAACTAAAGTTTACCGTTTTCAGTTGAAGTCGTTGTCATATAAACGGGACCTCAGTGTGTGGTTTTAGAAAGCACGCCGGTGTTTTAAAAACAAAAGAGGCGTGACATGTAACACAACAGCGTCAGCCTCTAGTGTGACATATAACATAAGCGTTGTCAGAGCTCCATAAACAACAACAATGGCCTAACATGGCAATAATAATCATTTACAGCTGCTGTTATATGGTGGCAGATCTCGTCCTCTTCTCAGATGTTAAGGAGCTCCCGGACCTTGTTGTTTTCCCAATTTGTGGACATTTTTGGCCACTGTTTCTTTTCTTTGAGTCAGCTGCTAACTGCTTCTAGCTGCTCTTTAAATCTCCCAGGAGTAGGCGCCACACCACACGTCATAAAAATGTCACACCTGTCCCGTCTATGGTCCTGTCCTGCTAGCTGTCTTTTGTGCAGACATCAGTTGGGCGCTGTAACTACCTCTGCTGCTGGCTTAAAGGGGAGATGACTCTGTCCCCCCATCCCACGATTGGCTGAATAACGGCGTGACATTCCCACCTTGAACAGGCAATGTAAAAGGGCTTTTTGGGCTACTCTGTTGACATATCAGTCTTGAGCCTTCTAACTACTCCAACTGAATTTAACCAGTTTCAGTGATTCTCTAAAGTTGAAGTGAAACCGTTCGAGCTCTATGGTTGATGCCTTTGAAAAGCTTCCAGTCCCTCTGACTCAGACTTCCCAGGTACCATATTTATAGCTCAAAGGCCATCTGATGGATTTGTGATTAACTAGTTTTGTTAGGTCCTCTAAGAAAGCACCAACTGGTAGATGTGTTGTGTGTCCTTTAGGCTGTAGGCTGTCCTGACCCCAGTCACCAGAAGTTGAAGCTGTTTTTTCTCCAGCCTCGGATTTCAGCTACGTTCCGTCTGGGCTCTTCCTCTACTCGTCGTCGACATAAACACTGCAAATTAAACCCTTTCAAAAATCTGTTTTACCCAGTTAAACCTTCACACATGTCGGTGGTAACTCACAAGTGAGGATGTGGGGAGTTCACTCAAAGTTAGTGAGTCATTCTGTGGGGCCGCTATAGCTGTGTGTTGAATTTCTGCACTCCTGCCAGTTATGGTGTTGATCTGGTTGCTAGGCAGCGGCTGGCCTTCGTTCTGGAATGGACCTCGGTTGAGAGGAGGAGGAGGAGGAGGATGGGGAGGGTGCAGGGCGTCTGAGCCTGTTTTGGTTCAAAGCTATTCACAGAAACTAGTCTTAGCTGGTCTAATTTAGACACTCTCTTTAGCCACATTCTCTGTTTTTAATGTATGAAAGTGTGAAATTAATACAATATCCAAACCCATGTGGAGCAGAAGGGTGTCTCTTGTGTCCGTCAGCAGTAAGTGTGTGGTGCTGCTTGTTCCTGTGTGCCCGCTGAGGAATACGTTAACTCTGGTTATATTTGGGATGTCTTTGTCCTAGGCCAAGCAGAAAGGGCTCAGGAAGTCTTATGTCAATGTAAACCACCCTGGAGAACAATACATGTCACTAACACAGTTACTCACTGCAGTATGTGCGGGGTTTCCCCAGGGAAATTGGTTAGCAGAGGAAGTATGAAAACAAATTGAACAAAAGGGTCTCGCAGACGTTGGCTGCTGTAGTGTTTGCCTGGTTTACGCAAATATACGCTCAAAGTATCACTACTGTAAAACACTTAAATAACTTAAAGGAATAGTTCGACAGTTTGGGAAATACCCACAGTCGATATCTTGCAGAGAATTAGACGAGATGATCGATACAACTCTCATGTCTTTACTCAGCCATCAGCCAGCTCACTTAGCTTTGCACAAAGACTGGAAAGAGGGAAAATGATACATCCTGCTTTTTTCCAAAGGTTACAAATTTCCCCTACCAGCACCTCCAAAACTAATTTAACACATTGTATCTCAGAAACATCAGTTTACTTTGTAATGGGGTTTGTGAAGAGCAAGAATAGCTGTTTTATCGGCTTTCTCTGTTAATAATTGGACTTAAAGTATATAATACATATAGTTGATTGCTACTGAATAACTCATTTGCTTTTAACTTGTCTGCCACAAGTTATCACTGTCATCTAATGAGCTGACAGGTCTTGACAGCTTCTTATCTTCAATATAGGGTTCAACAGAATGAGATTTTCGCGGTGCTACAACGATCTCAGAAAATACTTTGGTTTCACGTTATCACAGTTTTGCAGAAATTATTATCTCTCAAAATGATCTTTACAGGAAGGAAAAGGAAGCGTTATTTGTGGTTGAACAAACTTGATATTGCTAAAACTGAAATGGAAGTTTGTGTAAAAAGTCTCTCCTATGTAAGTAAAAATAAATAAATAAAGACGAGATTCTCGATCTGGTTTTAGTTCTTTTTCCCAAGTTCTCGACTATTAAATTCATTACTTACTAATTTGGTAGTTGATTAATGAGTTTGAGGTTTTTTTTTTTTTTTTTGTTTTTTTTTTAACAAAAACAAGTCAAAATTCTCTGCTTCTATTAAGTGCAACACACACTGCCGCCGGCGTGGCGCTGTGGCCGCCCCCCAACACACATTGGCAGTGGCGCACAGCGGCACTGTCGACACTAAAGTGTATTTCCCACCCCAGCCCGCTGGGTGGCTGTACCTACACTAATTGCCAACGGTTGCCAACTGCTAGTAATGGAAGAAGAGGAAAAACCTTGAGGCAACAACAACTTGGATTTCCACCTCAGTGATTAATTTTTCCTCATCCATTACTATACCAATTGCTACTGTCCAAAAACAACCACAAACAACAACAGAAACAGTAGGTGGCGCCAAATATCGTCTCTCCTAGCAACCGGAGTTGATACTACAGCGGCCAAGACGTACATAAAAGGCTTTTCTGGCAGCGCCGGCTGAAACAGAGCGGCGTGGCGCGGCGGCCAGCGCCGGTGTGGGTTTGTTCATAGAATATAATGGAGGCAGGCGTTTTGACGCACGGTGTATGGCAGCGGTGTGTGTTGCACTTTACTCTTCTATGACTGTAAACTGAATATTGTTGGTTTGTGGACAAAACAAGATGTTTGAGGGTGTCATCTTGGGCTTTGGGAAACACTGATTGACTTTTTTTTTTAACCATTTTCTGACATTTTATAGGCCAAACAACTAGTCAAGTAAATGAGAAAATAATCAACAGATTAATAGACAATGAATATTGTCATTAGTTGCAGCCCTAATCTTCAATGTTCTTCATTAAATGTTTGAAATACCACCTCCGCTGTTTGGCACTGTACGTCACTGAGTGTTTATGTTGTAAAAACCTGGTATTCTTTCAAAAAGTTAATGGGAAAGTTTGACATTTTGGGAAATAAACTACTCACTTTCTTCCAGAGAGTGAGATTAAAGTAAAGATTGATTTTATTATCATGTCTGTCTGTCAAATACAAAGGTACAGTCAGCAGCTAGCCAACATAGCTTTGAACAAACACTGGTTTCACACTTCAGAAATGTTGGTGGTTGGCAGATTTTGTTACCATTATACAGAGCATGGCTAGCTGGTTCCCCTGTTTCTTTGGGCTAAGTTAAGTTAGCTGCTTATGGTAGCTATTATTTTTTGGGGGATTCGGCCTTAAGTGACAGGACAGCCGCAAAAGGCTCAGCCTGTGTGGGGCGCACGCTCCACCAGGCGAGCCAGAGGTCGCCCCAGTAGCTTCATTGTTAGCGTACAGACATGACAGTGGTATCAGTCTTCGTGTCAAACATTAGGCAAAAAAGTGAAGGAGTGTATTTCCCAAAATGTCCCAACTTTTCCTTCAGTGGAAGTGTTAAACCCCCATTAAAGGTCCAGTATGTGGGATTTATGTCATCTAGTGGTTCGGTCACAGAATTCAAACGTATCCTGTGTGTCAAGTGTGCAGGAGAACTACGGTGGCTGATGCAAAAATGTGAAAATGCAAATGGCCCTATCTAGAGGTAGCGTTTGATTTGTCTGTTCTGGGCTACTGTAGAGCAACATGGCAAACTCCTCAGAAAGGGAACCAGCTCTCTATGTAGATAATAAATGGCTTATTCTAAGGTAACAGAAACACAATGATTCTTATTTTGAGGTGGTTAGAAACCAATAAAAACATAGGCATGAACATTATATTTCATTACTGCCAATAAATGCCTCTAAATCCTGCACACTGGACGTTTCAGGTTAAAGCTGTGAAATAACAGGCAGCAGCCAGTCCTGTTTTATCTGTAGTTAAAGAAAAAAATGAAAATTTAAAACACTGGTAGCTCATGTTTTCCTCCAGACACAGTGTTGTGATGACATATGACATAAAACTGTAACATCCTGAGTGTGGATCTGTCTCAGGATTTCTGTTTCATGGCGCTTGATAAATGTGAAAATGAGAAAAACATATTAACTGATTTTACAGTACGATGTACTGAACTGTGGGAACTAAATGTGTGGTGTTGTATGTTGCAGCTTGCAGGAGGTGTAATCCTGGGTGTGGCCCTGTGGTTGAGACACGACCCCCAGACCAGCAACCTGCTGGAGCTTGAATTAGACGGCAGCCATGCCCCCAGCACTTTCTACATCAGTACGTATCTCATCTGCACCATCTCTGTCTGTCTCCGTCTCTGTCTACACAGTTTTTTTTGTCTTTTGGAAAATCTCTTGCTCAAACCCGAGGACACATTTCCATCATAGAGAGGCTTGTGGCAAAAGAAAACATCTGTTGCTGCGCTCAACCTCGTTCACTACTGAATCACACTCGGAAAATGTCGGTCTTTTTGGCAATTCTGCTCATTTACATTATTTCCACACAACGACACTGCCCTTTGTCCACCAACCAGACCAAGTTAAATGTTACTCAGTGGATTTATTCAAATGGAAATGCCCTCCTATGTCATTTAGTCTTTTAATTATTCTCATCAGAGCCATTTTTATGGAGTAAAACGAAAGCCCTAAAGTAAAAAATCACACACAACATACTCATGTCTGTGTCATTCTATTTTACTGATACCACAAAACATGTAGGGCTATGTTCAAAATAGCACAAAGTACAGTACATGCCCATATACACAGTTCCCACAGTCATGGAAAACCTGGAAAAGTCCACAAAATTCCACAAGCTTGTTTTCAAGGCCTGGAAAAATCATCGAATTAGTAAAATCCTTTGATGTGTATAATGAATTCACTGTTACAGTAACCTTCCATGAATAACCTTCCACATAATGTAACTTACCAGTGCATTTAATTTATGTAGCCATTGACGTAAGGTCGCTCTAATATGCGTCAGTGCACGAGGTTTCGTTTACCATCACATGTCTCCCTGCGTTCTGTCTCTCCCTCCAGTTAGCTGGCATTATGTTTGAATAGAGCTTGAGTCTGATATGTTTGAGCAACGCCAGACAAGTGGGGCAAGAAAACAAATATTGTGACAGTGTGACTCATGTTTACGCATCATTGCCCCACTTCTACTTTAAATTGCGTTGAATTTTGGGTAACCTTGGGCTTTCACCTTGTCACTCAGAGCACCAGTTCACACTTTGGTGTAGTGGTCTGAAAGTACAGCATGGTAGGCCAAAGTTTCAGAGCTTTTTCAAACCACACTGTCAGCTGTCACTCGCCCACTCTGAGAGCTCTACTGCTCCTTGTCTGCAGTGTACTACAGTGTACTATACAGTGCTGTTTATTTACCTTATAAATGATAAAGCCAATGGGATTTTTCCATTGGATTTGTATTACTGCAGAAAATAAGCTCTGTGGCAAATAACACTAGATGATACTCACTGTTTTTTTGAACAAGATAATCTTCACTAGTGAACACCGTTTTTATGTTTTTTGAAATGTACATGTAATTGCCAGAAATGAAAAGCCACACTCAACGAGCCTGTAAAGCTGCCAATGGCATGATAAAGTACTACTGACAGCAACTGCCTTTTTTAAGGCACCTAAAAGCTTCTAAATTCATGTAATCGCTGACCTTATTAAGACGTCTTACCAAAAACCATTCAAAAAACCATTTGACTTTGAGACAAGGAAACCGTACATGCAAAAATGCTAAATCATTTCCGCATTTTAGGACTCACGTTATTACATTTAATATAACTCGGCTTATTTGATCACCATAACCTAAAGCCTCTTTTCCACTGCACAGAAAAACCTGCTAACATCAGACTTTTTAATATTATGGGAAAGGTTTTAATTGACGTTCACACCCGGGTCAAATGACTCCGCAGTAGTCACCGGTATTTATTGGCCCTGAATGGAAACAGCACCCAGGTGAACGTGCTGATTTTAGTCCTGGCGAGATGCAATGACGCGCCACCACAAAATACTGCCCGTCTTCAGCCAGGCAGCACTCAGACATTAATCCAAAACAGTCTGCACCAAGTTTGAAAAGAAAAAAGACTTAATAAATAAGAGATATAAAAAGAAGTAACCGTCGTAAAGTTCTCACTGGCCTCCAAGCTGCTTTCTACTGGTTACTAACCTGTTTTCTGGCCTGTTTGTAAACCAACACAGAGCCGTGTACTCAGCCCTGGTCTTCTGGCAATAAAAAAAGGAGTCTTAAGCCTATTTTTAGCAGGTTTACCAGTGTTTAAAAAACCTGTGTACACGTCCTAATTTTGGTGAAGGGGTATAAGAGACCGTGGGTTTATGCCATATCCAAATAAACAGAGCTGAAGCAGATTTACTGTGCACTATACTCCTCAACGGAGAGATGTTGTTAGTGGAAGATGAGACTAGATGTAGATGTGTCAGAAGAACAGTACAGACGTATCATGGATTTCTTGTGAACAGTGAAGTGAGATTTAATGGTTGCTCCACATAAACTCTTAACGGCCACAATAATTGAATCTCCTTCAGAGCCCTTTGAAGCCCTATTGATTAAGATGAGTGTGATAATTTATTATTAATAAGTTTAAGACCTGATATATAATTATAAGGTCCTATCCCTGAAGAGTTTGATGGATAGTAAGAAAGTTTTTGTAAATTACTTTTAAAAACGCAACAATTAGGAATTAAATTACAAACAGCACATACACATCATCACCTACATGATAGTTACAAAGAACTGTGACCACTAATGTGACCATTTCTGCTCACTGTGGTTCACTGAAACAACAGTACGCAGACTCTTCTGCTCTCTCCAGATAAAACGGATTCTCAAACTAGATATCTGTGCTCTACTGTGAATCTGGTGTTGATGGTCCATAGCTGTATGTGATTGGATTTTTTACAATGACAGCGGTGACAAGTGGTGAAGACGTGAAAAGTATTAAGTTTTAATCATGTTTTCGTCTTGTCGCATTGCACATTTCACCTAATAGTTGTAATTGTAGTAATAGTCCTGCACTGCCCAACATTTCACAGAGATCGGGAAGTTAACTTCTGTCGACACTTATTATTTTTATCAGCTTTTACCTGTAACCAAACAGCCAAAGAAGCTTAAACCCTGTGTGGTGGAAGGTGGGCAGCCATGATAGACCTGCCAACGACAAAAAACTAGGAAAGCAAGATATTGGATTTTTTGCCGATATCCGATACACTGATGTATAACAACTTATTTGACCGATAACCAATACCGATATATCCACTTTTTTCCCACCAAATTTTAGTGATCATCAAGTCTCTTACGTTGTGGAATCAACATTATATTATACATGCATACTCTTATCATGACGGCCCACAAGCAGATGGAGACATGAAATATGATGCTTTTCAGTGTCTGTAATATTCATTCATTGTGCAAAATAAGGAAAAGCATGTTGGCCAATTCTGATTTGGCTGATACCGATGATGTTCGGATATTATCGTGCATTCCTAAAAAAAAAACAGAGTTTAATGATCCATTTGTGTTGTGATCAGTTGTTCTGATCCCTAAAGTTTAGGGTCACCAATCAAATTGTATTTAATAAATGAGGAAGAAGAAGAAAAGGCAGTCCAAGGCACTTAAAAAGCTTTATTAAACAGGCTAGTTCATGTAGAACAGATAAAAATTGCCAACATGTTTCGGCCTGAGTTGGCCTTCGCCAGGGCAAATTGCCAACTCAGGCCGAAACATGTTGGCAATTTTTATCTGTTCTACATGAACTAGCCTGTTTAATAAAGCTTTTTAATTTCCAGAGTGCCTTGGACTGCCTTTTCTTCTCCCTGATTATGCTTCCTCGCAGAGGACCAAAGAACACCTGCAGTTTTTAACATTTTTTACCTTTTTGAACGCCACTGCCCTCCTTCCTTTGTCTTTTCTTTGTATTTAATAAATATTGATCTTTTGCACATTTTAAGCAAAGAAGCGTAACCAGGTGCAAATTTTCGCCTTGGCTAGAAATCCTGTATGCAACAACACATCTGTAACCTGTGATTATACTTTTTGCATTGTCTCTGGCAAACAAACTAATGATTAAATAAATAAATAACATCTGTCTGAACTGAACAGTAGGGCTGCAACAAACAATTTTTGATTGCCCAATTACCCAGGGAAAGCAAAATGTCATGTTGCACAGACCTGCCCGATTGCACAAGCTGCATATATTTTTTTCCGAGCTGATGATAGAAGGAGCTGAAGAGTGAGGCATACCACTTCCTCCTCGTCTCTGTCTACAGTTGCACATGATGTGCAGTGCTTGTGAGAAAATGAAAGGGGGTAAATACAAAGTTTATGAGCTGAAGCGCAAGCGAACATTTCAATTATCCTGTAAACAGGAGTTTAGTTGGGCAGCGAGGCAGCGAGGATGTGGGCGAAGCTCCAACCATATAGTGCACAAGTGTGCTGCAAGTTTGAGGACAAAGCAGATCAGTCATTTTTTAAAGGAATGTCAAGTTAAAATGGAGATAAAACATGTAATGTAAAACATATTTTAAAGATTAAACATGAACATAAGTTTAGTCTTTGTTAAGTATCATTTTTTTATTTTTTATAATCCAAATCAAAAATTAGGTAGCCTACTAGAATAATATAATCAATTGCATTTTCAGTCCTACTAAATTCATTTAGCTGCTGCAAAATGGATGAGGTGAGATAAACAGACTGAAAACTTTTATCTTATTAGATAAATCAGATGTCAACAGTTTTCCTTTGTGAGCATAATTTACAGTTGAAAAAAGTATTAAATCACAATTGTAACACAGCACTCAGCATATCACAACATATGTAAAATCGCAATAATATTGTATTGTGACTTAAGTATCGTGATCGTGGATCCCTTGGTGATCCCCACCCTACTGACCATGAAAAAAAAGACATTGTTGTCATAGTGTAGCCTTGTTATGTTTGTCTTATAATAAACATTTGAAATTGCATGCCCACATTGTCCTTGTAGTATTGAAAATGGTATTTAATATCAATATTTTTCAAGGTATTGTGTTAAAGTCAGAAAGTCCAGTATTGTGAAAACACCAGTGTTGTCTACAGTAACACATAAAATTGTGAATGGGGCCTGTCAGAAGAGCCCCGGGTCATGTCCTCAAACTGCTGGTTTGTGCGACAAACATTTCTAAGCCCCCCCAAAAAGTTTTGTGTGATATAAAATAAAAAAGGGCAGTAAATCTGACAAGTGGGAATGTTCGGTATCTCTGCCTCATAATTGA